ATGTTACATTTATTTATATATTATATTTAGTTTATGCTATTTCTATTAATTTGTTAAGATGGCTGATGTGCTTGAATTTGATAAGCAATTCTACTTTTTTTCTACATTTTGCACTTTAGTTATGTTTACACGTGTTATGTTTCTATGTCTGAAAATCACTGTCAGACTAATGATATGCATTGGTGTATTAGTGCGCTGCTAGATTTTCTTCAGGCTTCTGCTGACATATAACTCTTATAAAAGCTACACATGTCCATCCACAGCAGTGGTTGCATGTATATCCACAACCTGGAAAGTTTTCCAGCTCATACATGCGGTTTGCTGCATGTCTGACATTTGCTGCAGACTCTGCCTTTACAAGACACAATAACTCAGCTTCACCCTGCAGTGATTTATGTTCACTTGAAGCCGAGATACCAAACTGACACTCGATCTTCTGTAAGCAGGGTGAGGTGAGTCATCCTGCTGATCGGCTGATCATCAGTGTCTCCTCTCTCCCGTGCGACTTCACCTCTGGCAGTACAAATTGCAAAAGTCCTCCTGATAAGAGTCTGTTGCCAACTCTGTCTGTCTCAGTGTTCCTCTGCATTTCGAGGTGAGAAGTCAGGGTTTAAGCCCCGCCCTGCGCGTCACAGTTCCCATTCTACCCCGATTTCTGCTTGTAGACTTGTAGAGGCCACATTGCGCTGTTGTCTTGATGTTGTGCGTGCGGAAAAACACTTGTGGTATCTTGTTGGACTGTAAATAAGTGAGCCAGAAAAAAGCCAAACTAAATATATAATTTATAAATGTATATATATATATAGATATATATATAGAAAGACAGAGAGAGTGAGATAAATGAATATGACCTGAAAGAACATGCTCTGCAAGGGTTAAAAAAAAAAGAGATTCTTATGAATGTATCATAAACAGAGATAAAATGCTGTATGACAATGGATTACTTCTAATATTTCATTAAATATAACTGCCATATTTTCCTCTGGTTTTGTTTCCGTCATTGTGTGGATTGCTGCATGCATGAAAAATTAGAATATTTCTGCATGAACTGTTCAGTATCAACATGTTGAACTGGGTATACTCTGGCATATCTATCTCATAATCCCTCTCCCTCTGTGCTTGCTGCCATACGACAATACTAAGCCCACCCAACAATGCTGAAGGATTAGCTCTCTGCCCTTTTCTTTGGGCTCTAAGGGAAACGGAGAGGAAAAAGCAGGGTATAGAAAGAGAAAAGGCAAGTTGCGGGAGCACCAATGTAGAGACGGAGCGTGGGTTTGGGTGCGAAGCGGGCTTGAAAAGGGGAAGAGACAAACAGCTCGAGAACAGATGAATGATATTTGATAGCTTTGGCTGGTTGCGTTTCTGAGACCATTGTGCAAAATCCCTGGGAGATCGCTTCCACACAAGATAGGGGAGACAATTCAGGACTGACAATGACACCAGAGTATAAATCATCTCTGGTGAGTCAAAGATGGCATACAGTGTCAGAGGGAGCAGCTGTGTGTGTGTGTCTAACACGTGGCTGAATGCATGATATGTGAGGTGAGACAATGTGTGTAGTGAGAACTAAGCGTGTCTGAATGTGTGTGCTGAATGTGTGTGTGTGTGTGTGTGTGTGTGTGTGTGTGTGTGTGTGTGTGTGTGTGTGTGTGTGTGTGTGTGTGTGTGTGTAAAAATATGAAAAATGCAGAGGATGCCTGTAGGAGCGTGAGGGCCGGGAGGAGGGCAGATGGTCGCTTGCTGATAGGACGGAATCCAGGCAACGGGGTCCTCCAGAGAGCTGGGTTCAAACCAGGTTTACACACACACACACACACACACAAATATTCACGCTTATCTCTTTCTTTCTCTTTCAGGCACTCTCTTTTGTTGCCCCTCAACTGCACACACCAGTTTCAAGTGGTGTCAAAATAAAAGCTTGTGTATATCAAATGATAGTAAAATAAAATACAGGTGCACAGTTAGACAGATTCCTTGTTATTTTAAGGTTGATAGCAAATTATATATCTACATATTTTTTCATTTACTTTAACTTGACCTATTATTGAATATTCGAAATTACAAAAATGTGCATTGTCAGTTTGTTTAAATAAAGATATCCCAGTTCCACAGTCTCAAAATGCAAAGTGTCAGAATGTTTTTAACCACCATTCACCTAGAAATTTAACACAGGTAAATAAACTTTGCCTCCATCTCCCCTTTAATTGATACTACAATAAACCTTTTTTTTAGAGTATGTTTGATCAAGATTGTGGTGGAGAAATACAGGAATCTAGTAAAATAACATAATAACTGGATCTAAAAATTAGGGGAAAATTGTGAATCTTTATAGTAAAGAAGGAATTATAATAACAATAATAATAATGATAATAATTTCACTCAAAAATGAGTAAGATTCAAAATCTGTATGTGTTCTTCACTTTTTACCTACTTTTTAAAATTTAATGCCATTTTTAAGCTTGTGTGTCTTCTCTTGTTCTGTAACCTCAACACATAACTAATTGCCTAATGATTATTCATGAAAATCGATGATTATGGAATAATGGACACACTGGCCTGTAAAAATAATAATTTTGAACATCGGCATTCACCGTTCAAAAATCGACCACCTTACATTCAACTTAAGGCTCTTGAGGCTTCCTTTAAACCACCAGGTGGCGTCAGGACACTTTCCGATTTGACCACCGATCAGGCCAAGGTGTAATAAAACATACAGTACAGACACGAGGTGAACAAACCCAGTGCAGAGATGTACTGTTAAATGCATTTCCAGCTGGTGAAGGCTCGCACAGGTTCTGAAACAACAGTTTAAGCTTCATTTTTTTTGTAATTTAGACTGAAGCCACAACCTTTTAATCTCTATTTGAAAAACCCTGTCGATATTTTCTTTTTCCTTTTTTTGCACAACATTTCAGTGTTAATTTATTTGCACACGTTTCCCATTTAAACTATTTGTATATTACTTCATCGTACATGAAAATGATAAATAGGACAAGTTTATGGTTATTTTTAGTGTGCATGCTGATGGCAGCAGGCCCAGTTATACATAATAACACTATTGTTACATCAGCTTCTGTACCTCACCTGCAGTGAGGCCTATATACCTTCATTTCACATCCTTTACAGACAGGCCTGCTTTTTATTTATTTATTCATTGCCTAATAACATTTTTTAAAATTTTGCTTCGATGGTCAGAAATTTATCTCGCCGTGCTTGTCGATCACATTTCGCATTTATCCTAATAATAATAATTTGAAGTCACTTGCTGAGCATCTTCTGTAACATCCATCACACAGCAGTATCAGAGCACATCAGCGGTAGCAAACACTTCAGCGAAGCAGGTGAAACATTTTAAACAACCGAGACGAACTGATAAAATCCCCAATTTTAATGCGAGTCCGCACACAATAAAAAATACAGTTAAATGCGACTTTTTTCCCTTCTTTCTTCCACCCTGAAGCGCAATGAACGTGCAGGACTGCAGAGTTTTAGAAAACAAATACGCTTTAATGACAAAAAGCATTTAGAAATTGTGCAATCGTTGATTTCTTTTTCCTCTTCGTTTGATCACAGATTTCAGGTCACTGCTATTTTGTTTTGGTTTGCCTCTTTTTTCCCCTCCACCCATCAGAAACTCAAATTCAGCTGAAGATTAAACAGGGTGTGATTACAGTATTTTTTTTTTAAATTTCACAAATATGGGGCCTTATTTTAATCGAGGGCGATTTGTTATGTAATACCTACCCATAAATAAAAAATGCCATGTGCGTATTGCAAAACGTTACATAAAAATATTGCTATGGTTATTTTTTATGATTGGCGATGAAAAGGGAGGTTATAGACCTACTTTGATGTTGTTAGGTAAGACTTATACATTCAGGTTTGTTATTTTTTTTGTACACTGTCTCACATTAACAAGCTTTGGTCTATTAAAAATGTTCCTCTCCAGTCATCAGTATTCCTCAGCTTTATTTGAGTTTCCACTTTCTTTCTTTTTTTCTGTTTTATATATATATATGTATATTTATTCTTCATAATTTGGTAAAAGAACCTTTTAGTGGGTTTTTCCTCCCACATACACTCCTACTATCAGATCAGGTTATCAATCACAGGATTTCAGTGGCACAAGAACACGTGTCTGTGTTTGTGCTTTGGCACAGACTGACAGAAAAGAAACTGAACATACAAACAACCAAACGAACGAACGAACGAAGCAATACAAAAACGAATGAAGATACATCCCACAGATCGCCTTCTCCGTGAATGAATGAGTCATACAGTAGTAGTAGTAGAAGTATAGCCACTGTGGCCAGAGCTGGTACCAGGATATATTCAGTTTTTTTCTTCTTCTCAGGAAAAGAAGGCAAAATGGGCTGGATTGTTCAGAGTGTTCCAGCCGGACAGTCTCGGTCTTTCTCGTCACAGCATTTTGGAAAAGTACAGAAATAACAAACAGCAAAAACACACTGTAAACAGGCGCACAGAAATGTCTGCACAAAAGGAAAAGCCTTGAAGTCCACCAATACTCAGTCTCAATTGTATTATTATTATTATTAATTTATTTTATTATTATTATTTGCTGCTAAATTAGGAATGTAAAAATGTAAATACTTTCACATTTTATTATATTAAAGCAATACTGTATTTTTATAGTGAATAAGTTCAGGTCGTCACAATAAATTTAGACGAATACCTACAATTTTACAATAATAATAATAATAATAATAATAATAATAATAATAATAATAATAATAATAATAAATTATCTGGCTGGTATTGGCTTTAATTTTTAAACATTATACAGCAGGTGTCTGCCATTTCAGCCCTCTCTTGCCACAAGCCGCGAAGAACCCCTGTTGCTTTTGTTATGATGGAAAGATGGCGTTTATTTACCCACACTCACTGCGACTAAATCATCATGCCCGAAGCGAGTTTTTATGTTTTTTCTCCCCGCGGACACGTCTCGTCCGTGTCACACTCTGCCTTTTTTTCATCTCTTCTTCTTCTATTTTTTTAAATAACATATTTGATGATGGCACACTGGCGCCTGGGTCTGGCATAAAGAAAATGTCGCTGTTTTTTTCTTATTCTTTTTTTTTCTGGTTAGCACACACCACCCCGATACGTTTGGCAGTTCTGCGGCATGAAACCTCTCCATACGGCTCTGCTATGAGTATTTTTAGCGCTCGCGTGCCACTGCGTGTCCCCACTGTGTCTGTCCGTGGGTCCAACATCTAAACTGGCTGAGGTCCAGTTCCGAGCGGTCCAGCACAGAGAATAAAAGAAATAAGGAGGCGTTATACCTCCTTTAAGGGGTCCGTGTTTTTACTCGGGATTGAGAACTGAGGTCACTGCACGGGAGTTTGTCCTCCGTGGCGAGGAGGGGTGTCCCCGTACATGTCCTCTCCTCCAGGTATCTGTCCCCCAGCGGGCGTCATCCTCTTCTCCTTTTGCCGCCGGTTACAAAACCAAACCCTCACCACCTCCTTCTCCAGCTGCAGGCTGTCCGCTAGGGAGTTGATCTCCGCTGCTCCCGGTTTTGGACATTTGAGAAAATGGCTCTCCAGAGCCCCTTTGACGCCCACCTCAATGGAGGTTCTCTTTTTCCTTTTCCGTCCCTGTGCCGCGATTTTATCCAAGCTGGTGGGGCTCCCCGAGGTGGAGTCCGCCTCCTCCAGCCACTTGTTCAACAACGGTTTTAGTTTGCACATGTTTTTGAAGCTGAGCTGAAGCGCCTCGAACCTGCAAATGGTCGTCTGAGAAAAAACGTTCCCGTACAGTGTCCCGAGAGCCAGTCCCACGTCCGCCTGGGTGAAGCCAAGCTTGATTCGCCGCTGTTTGAACTGCTTGGCAAACTGCTCCAACTCATCAGAGGTCGGCGTGTCCTCGTCAGACTGATCCTGATGGCCCCCGTGCTGGTGATGGTGTGTGAGAGACTGCTGGTGGGCCCCGGGGCCGCCTCCGTGTTCACTGAGGTGCGGACTGTGGCTGTGGTGGTCCTCTTCGCGCAGAGGGTGGTGGTGCATCCCCCCTTGCTCTCCCCCCGGCATCAGACCGAAGCCGGACTGAGAGTACACCAGGCTCTGGCCCTCAGATGTCGCCATACCGGAGATGTGCGTTGTGGCTGTGCTGGTTCGCCATGCTCTGGCGTCGTGATGCGCCTGCTGGTGCGCTAGGTGAGGGTGTCGCTGTTGCTGCTGCTGCTGTTGCTGCTGCTGCTGCTGCTGCAGACTGCTGGAGTTCTGCAGCTCCTCTCGGTCACTGTCATGCAATACGGGTTTCACGTCCTGTTCTCCGAGGGGACTAGACGGCCAGGGTGCCCCGCTGTCACCGTGAGACAGCGCCGTTATCCACTGGTGCGCGTGGCTGAGCGGATGCCCAGCGCCCGGTAACGTGCTATAGTCGTTCTGGAGCAGGGTGTGCGCGTCCCTGTACGCTGCCGCCTGCTGCATGCTCCCGGACTCCGAGTGCGGCGGCGGCGCGCTGCTGGGGGTACTGAGGACGCTGTAGTGGTTGGACGTTGCGGTCGCCATAACTATCGGAGCCAGAGTGATAGCTGGAGTTAAAAGGAGGCTGCCTTTGACAGTAACTCTTTTGCCCCACGGGGCAGCTAGGCGTCTCTCTCCAGCATCTCCCGGGCGCTGTGCCAAGGGGACGCAGAGGCGCGCACCTGTGGTCCGCCTCGCTCCGCTCTTTATTGGCCAAGAACGGTTGACAGATGTGGTTACCCCTGACAGCACCCCGCTCATTGGTCACGGGAGATTGTACAGAAACCCCAATCACTCTGCCCAACAATACAGGCAGTCCTGCAGGATGCTAGAGTACTACAAAGTGGAGGGAGAAATCAGGCAGTGTAAACACAGAATAGGCAGAAGAACCTGGGTTGTACTAAAAGAAAAAAAAAAGGGGGGGGGGATGTCTGACGTTTCTGTCTTTGTTTTAAAGTACTTTTATAACCTTGATCTGGGTCACTGGGTCACAAGTGTTGGATTTGTGCGTCAAAACGCTGCGTAAAAGTTACACACGAGATGAAGAGAAGACTTTACATATTATTTATTGTAGGATAGCCATCACTCCCGTTTTAATAGTTTTTTTAAACGCAACTTTCAGAGAGCAAAATGTTTAAAATTACCAAACATTCCGACCACATCTGATTCCACGCGCGTGAAGTTGGATATCTGGAGGTTATTTTGCGCCACGAAAACAAAGCAGCGATCGTGACGAGAAACTTCCAGCTGCCTCTCTGCCCCCAGGACGCTGTCCAGAGAGAGGGGCTGCGTGCTTCCAGCTTCTGCCCCGTTACCATGGCGAACGCAGTGAATGGAACAACAACGCCCACGTCACAGCTGCAATTCGCTCCTTCTTTTCGTTCCGTTCCAAAGGGCTCATTGGGGCCGCGCTCTCGGCCGACGGGACAAATAATAGGGAGGAGGGGAGGGGGAGGAGGAGAGGGCAAATCGGGGCCGAAAATAGAGGAGGCTTACAAGAATGGATCCCTCTGCCTGCTCTGAGCCCACTCCACCCTACACCACCCGCCCCCACCTCCACCTGCCTGTTGGGTAAACTTTGAGATGTGGCACGCGAGGCTTGGCTTTTCAGACAGCAGGCCTCGACCTTTAATGTGCGGATGAGGAACAAAATGTAGAAAATATTTCCTCCTTCAGCAAATTAGTGCTCTCCAACATGAGTTTTAAATGGTATACCCACAAGTCCCATAAATACCATTTAAAATATCCACTTTATTGCACTTTAAAATCTCTTAGCTGAATAATTAATGCAACTTTAGACTAATCCAGGAAATCCCACACTTATTTGACAGCTAATGTTACCTGTAACTATGAAGATTGAGCTTTTAAACATAATCTGATGCACTGATGTTTGATTAAAGCTGTGCTGTAATGACGATTTTAATGTATATTATCATATAAACACTACTTTGTGTACATTTTGAAGACTTTGAATTCTCCATGAAAGTGTTTTTAATGGAAACTAAGCTTTCACTAAAGGCTTTCAGTACCTCGTTTATCATTGTAGCACAAGATCGTTAAGGTGTTGGGAAGACAATATCAGTTAAGTTAGTGAAAATTCATCAAAGCACTAATTTTTTTGCAGCATCTGCTGGTCCTATCTTTAAATTAATGCAATAATATTGAAATTAAACTATTCTTAATTCTGCTGAGTCCCCCTGAAACCCTATTAGACCCCTCGGGGGTCCCTGGACCTACTTTGGCAACTACTGGTATTTAGGAGATGTGATTTTATTGGCTCAAAGTGGGGCACTGACTGTAAGACATCATAGCTATTAGGAGGTTAAAGGAACCTCAAAGGACCAAAAAACATCAATGTTTCACCTTCAAACAGCGATGCTGTGCAGCATCATGGGCATCAAGGAACATCTGTGTAATCTTTTATATATATATATATATATATATATATATAAAATAAATTTAAAGCCAGAGGGACTCTAAGGCATGCAAAGAAAATAGCATTTATAAGGTTATTGAAGACCAAGGTGACCTACAATAAAATTTCGTATAAGAACTGATAGGTTAACCAATAAATCCTTCAACTGATTGAGCCGAGGATGCATAGACATAAACTGACGCGCTCAGATTTATAGGGATCGAAAGAACACTGGCTTATGATTAGGGTGTAATTCGGAGAATTACCAAATGTGTCGCCAGGGGCTCTGGCAAGCCGTGTGTTGAGAGAGGCAAAACATATTACCCTAATAGACTAATATGCAAACTACTGGCTGCCCAATTACAGGACTTAATAACGCATAAACGATGCGGGTCCTGTTCTTACAAGACGAAGAGGTCGTTGTTAATTCAGTCAAAGGGCCGGCTATGCTGTCAACACAGGCAGCGCTTTTGCACACACATGCAGTCTTCGTTTCCCTGTCTGTATTCACGAGTGAAAGTTAATGATGGAGATTCTGAGCGTTAAATTAACAGTAATTATGGCCCCAGTGCTGTAAAGATTCAATTTCTTCCCAAGTCTAATGGGCCAAAGTGTCCCTGTGCGCAGGCACAACTCTTTATGAGATATTTATGATTGAATGATTATGATTGAGATGGAACGAAAACAAACACGCACACGGAAAAACCCACAGAAGAAAGGCATCTGTTCCTTTTTTACATTTCCTACATTTTTGCTGTATTTGAATTTGTTTTTACTCTCTGTTTATTTATTTTTTTGGGTGTAGCAGTGCAGCAGGAGTACTACATTAAAGGCCAGCACTTTTTGAATCCAGATGTGAAAAGCCTTTTTTTATTGGCTCCTGTGTAAACAGTACCACCCGCTCTCCCACACTGCTTTGAGAACGAACAGTTCAAGTGTAAGGTGAAGCCATTAATGTGAGCGAATGTTTGCAAGCACACCAGTACTCTGGCTGCTTTCACTTTCTCTAGACCAGTATGTGACCAGCCCATGTCCCTCCCCCTGTGGGAACTCTAACACAGGGGTAACTGGGGCAAGGGGGGCTCCTTTATGCTGCCGGACACAGGGAGATAATGGCCATTCCTCCACAGCTGGCCCACACAATCAAAGGAAGAGGGGGCTCGGAGGATTCCAGCTTTAACCAGCCCATTGTCTGGGCTAATTACATCTGAATGCAAGACTCGGAGAACCCACCTCCCCCCTGAGTGAAACCTGAACAGAATACCCCAAACAACCCTTCAGAGATGAGGGAGAGTGCACAGACACGGGGCACACACACAGAAAAATATAAACCCTGGACTAATTCATTACCCCTAAATGTAAGCACACAAACACTCACGCGCGCACACACACACACACACACACACACACACTCAAGCCTCGTTCATTACCCATACACACTCTTGTCCCCAGCAGGCTCTTATCGTAGTTTCGTGTCTCTCACTTGCTCTCACACACACATACTCACTCAGATGTGGCACTCAGCATTAGATCAGATCTCAGCTTGCTCCTCTCAGAAGAGATGAGGAGGTCTTAGAGGACTTAGGTTGAATAGAAAACACAGAGAAGAGCCATTCCCCATTGCACCCCCAAAATCCCAATCTACACCCTCCCTCGCGCCCCCAACCACCAGTGCTCGACTCCATCTGCAGCCTGAAGTACGTGGCCTGGGCTCCGTTCGGTGCGGTCTGTTAAAACTACATGTCAGGAGGTGATGTTTTAGTGTTTTCGGTTCTTTTTGGGGGGTTGGAGTCGGAGAATACATCCAGCTGGATTGATATGGATTTCCTCCAGTATGATGAGCACTGCAGTGAATGCTGGTGTTTGAAACAAAAAGAGCAAAGACAGAGAAAAAATGTGTTGCTGTGATGGCTTATACTAGAAAGTGCAGGTACAAACACAGTAAATGGCTTTAAAAATGTCCGGAAGAGTTTACTGCTTGCATCAGAGATTTTGAATGGATGTTGGAATTTAGGCTGAAGCTCTGAAAGAGTTTTAAATGCAAGAACCAAAAGCAGCTGAAATCAGTCAATGATCATTTGCTCCAAGAATTTAAAAATGTAAATTTTTAGCATGGCATTTAAAGCAGTTGGTGTGCGAGTTGAATAGTGAAGGACGACGGCTGTCGGTTTGTCATTCAGAAAATTTACAGATGAAAGCCGTTAAAATGTCAGCTAATCTGTAAACGATGACTGCAGATGAAATTTAATCTGAAGTTGAAGTGCCAAAGATAGTTTGGACTAAATGATAGAAATGTCAGTTGGAGTATAGTTGTGTAGTGAGTTAACATGCAGAGGCTGAAAGCTGTTTATTAAACTTTAATGTCAAGTTAAGGACTGTTAATCTGCTGGTGTGCATGTGGGCACTGAAAATGCCAGATGAAGTGTGAAGGATGAAAGCAATTGAAACCACTACCGCAGATAGTTTAAGTGCATCGTAAATAGTTGTAGAGTCAGTTGATGTGTAGTCACCTGGAGAGTTAAAACATGAAGCCAGTGCAGAAGTGCCAAAATGCAGTTCCCTGAACGGCCATTTGAGGCTGGCACCAAAACTCATATCAGTGAGTTGGTTGCCTTAAATATCAATTGTAAAATCTTCAACTAAATACCAGCATTATCCATGTTTACAGCCTAGTACCAATCTGTAAAGATAACCTGCTCATTTACATTTTATGAAAGCTTAAACGTCTGCTTTATTATTACGGGCATTGCAGTTTTCCGTTGCAGACTGATGCCGACTAGGTACCTTCTGCTGAACCGGACCCATCGAACATATTTGCAGGGTTGGTTTAATTTGGGTCATTTTGCTGCAGTCGTCTAGTAAATAACATTTAATTAAGTTTTTTATATAGAGCCAAATCATAACAACAGCCACCTTGAGGGGCTTTATATTGTAAGGTAAAGATTGTACAATAATGTAGAAAAAACTCCAACAATCAAACGACTCTCTCTGAGCAAGCACTTGGTGACAGTGGGAAGGAAAAACTCTATTTCATAAGGGGGAAACCTCTGGCAGGACCAGGCTGCCATGACTGGTTGAGGGTGAATTAGGGCGTGGCTTGCTGTGCAAACAGTCATACCAACAGCTCATACAAGAAGACTATAATAACTTAGACTTTGGTCCTTCCATGCTACATATACAAGCATATAGGGAAACAACCTTTCTCAAGAATTTCCTGTCTTTGGAGGAGGTCTTGTTTTTTTCCCAGCTGATGAAAAACTATCTGCTGCAGATGAGCCGTATCTGAAAGTCAAGTCTTTAAGAAATATGAAGAAATACATTAAAGGCATGACACAAGACCTGAGACATACAACTGACTCATCAGTTGATCCATTGACTCTTCAGTGAAACCTCATCAGAAATGGTCTCAATGCAAGGTGGGCTTCTAAGGAAGGAAAACAGGGAGAAAAGGCAGAGAAGAGTTATGCCAAATTACACAAGAA